TGCCTTACCTTCCTTTCTTGCATCCTTCCTTCGCTTCTTCCGCTACTACTATTACTTTCTACGATCCAACCCTATTACTCCACATCTCTCGGCATCGGTTCCTATCTTCTTCTTATCATCTCACACCTACATACCTAACTGCCTGCCTGCCTCAGCTAACGCTTCGCATTTTGCTTTAATAACGATATAAAATAGCCTCTAAATACTAAAAAATAATTTCGTTTCTGCTCCTCCTAAGCTTCATACATATTCCTCATCTTCTACTGCTGCTGCTTCTTCTTTAATTACGTCTTCGTCTTCATTCTCTTCGTTTCTACTTCGTTTTCAACGCGCACGCTAACTCACAAGTTGTTGTTTTCAGCAACTTCCTTCCTAATTTAATATTTTTCCTTAAACATTTTTAGTGTAAACCCCCGCAGAGCACGATGCTCTCCACTTCCTAACTCTCTTCTTCTCCTTTATCATCTTCTGTTCAGCATTTGGAATTCTATGCACAAAAAAAACACGCAAGTTAAAAACATTGCTTTGTTTTTTTGCTTTTCTTTTTTTTTTTAGAATTTTTTACAAAAATTCGTTTTACGCTTTTTTTTGTCGTTTGTTTTGTTTTCTTTTTATATAAATAAAATGCTCAGGCATCATCACTAAGCATATGGTATAGGTTCGCTATATATATTTATATATATGTATATGTATGTATATAAGTATATAGTATATGCTCTTTGTATTGACAACTTTGGACATTTTTTTGTTTCCTAAGCGCTACGCAAACTTTAAGACGCCACAAAAATATTATTTTAATTTAAAAAAAAAAACACACACTTTCAATCATCATAACAAAACAAATATTTTCCTCTTACGCGCTCCCAACATATACATATATATTTAATATATATATATAGGAAATATATATATATATATATAGATATATATTTATGTATACACATATATATATATATATATATATGTAGTGTGCTTACCACTCTCTGTATATATAAGTGTTATGCCTAGCAAAATTCTTTATATACACTTCAGAATACCCTACACTACACAAAATTCATCGCTTCTGCTCTCTAATTTGGAACTGGAGCTCGACGACGACGCTCTTTATATAATATATATGTAGATCGAAAATACATCATCGTCTTTGTCATTGTCGATAGACCAATAGCTGTTGTCTCTCTCTCAATAGTTGTCAAGTTTTAGTTGCTTTGTGTCGATTGGTCCGTCTGTCTGTCATTTGGTATTGTACGTACTCGTATGTTTGTATGTGTGTATGACTGGCTGGCTGGTTGTCTGGTTGTCTGGTTGGGTTGCTTGTTGTTGTATTGTTGTCTCTTAAAGTTCTTCTCCTTGTTTTTGTTTCAGGCCAATTGTGTTGTTGTTGTCTCTTTTGGTTGATGTTGCTGTTGTTCTTGTTATGTGGCAGCTGGGCGGTGGGCATACCGTTATGCGTGTATGGGCATACTGTTATACGCGCGAGCGTATATAGCAATAGCTATTACAACTGTTATACGAGTATAACAGTTGTTGAAACGGTCATACATTTGGCGCAGATGCCCGACCGCATTGCGCCACAAACTGCTCTTTAGCTGATGCTCTTTTTTGTTGATATGCCTTTTTGTTGCAGTATGTTAAGAGTAATTGTATATAGTTGTTGTTTGTTGTAGTTGTTTCCTTTACAGTGTCCTGCTTTACTATATATATCTCTCTCTCTCTCTCTCTTTCGTCTCTTTCTATTGACATTTTCGTCTGCTTCCCATTTGTGCTTACAACCTAACAATTTTTGTTTTTAATTATTAGTAGTTACATTTTAAGTTACATTTAACTTCTGTTGCTTTTGCTTTGCTCTCACACACTTCACATATTATAGTTCTGGTTTTTTTTTTAAATTTATATTCTCTCTTAGTTGTTTGTTTCTTTTTTTAATAGTTTGTTTTATAATTTTCATTTGTTGTCGTAGAAGATAATGCACTTACATTGAGGTATTTTAATTACTTTTCAATCTTCAAAAGTTCTCTTCTCATTTTTTGTTTTTGTTTGTTTTGTTGTTGTTGTTGTTGTTTTTGTGTTACTTATAGTTTTCGCAAAAATTATATAGCTTTGGAAAATCTGTGCAAACTGCAAAACTGCCCTAAAGCTTGTACGCTTGCTGAGAAATTTTCAATTGTTTTCAACGTATTTATCTGTTTATTTTCTTTTAAATTCTTTTCGAATTTTGTTTGCCGCTCAAGTTTGTGGTTGCTGTTGTTAATGTTTTAGTTGTTGCTTTTGTTTTTGTTGCTTGTGCGAAATGTGTTGCCGAAATGTTGATTTTTTGTTGTCTAACAAGAGTTCTTTAAAATGCTTGCAGAGTTGCACATAAATATAACAGTTGTTGTTGAATTTGCTTGTTTCTTCTAAAAGCAAGTGTTATACAAACGAAAGGCGCATTTGTTATTGGACTTTCAAAAAACAGAACTAAAGAATAACAATAAAATGAAAGTGGTGACTTATTAACTTTTGAATTGCATCTGTTCTGGATATGGGTCCACAAATTACAAATTATGTTTAGATTATAGGTTATATAACATTATGTATTGGCATTGCTAACTGTAAGCATTGTATAAGTTATGCAATAAAACAAGAAAAAAATTTAAGTAAATTAATTAGAAATTTACGTTATATATTTATATTAATATGTATATTTATGTATATATATATGTATATGCTTGTAACAAAATTGGGCTATTGTCTTTGATTGTTTGTTGCTCCGATTCAGTTACTTTAGTTACGTTTATGGTTTCTATTTACTCAGCTTCTTCGTCGTCTTCTGCTTCTTCTGCCTGTTCTTGTATTTATTATCAGCAGCAATTGGAACTGTATTATTATATAAGCTAACTATTAGGTGTGTGTGTGTGTTTGTTTGTTGGTGTTGTTGTTGTGGATGTTTTGTATATAATAGGAAAACATAAAAATGATAGTAAAAAAAAACAAACAAATATAGTATTGTTAATTAAACTATGAAACAATTAGACGCAACAAGGTATGTTATGTTGTATTGTATGTAGGTCTAGTACTCCTTTTTTAAATAGCATGCTCCTCGTTTCTTCTTAATAAACTCATCCTATCCATCATATAACACTTCTATAAATGGTTAAACGTTATAAAATTAACATTTCAGCACCGTTTTTTCTCTCAAGGCAAACACATTACAATGCTCTCTTTCTCTCTCTCTGTCTCTCTTTTCTTTCTTTCCTTTCGCGCTCGCTCTGATCTCAACACAAGTTGTATCCCTAATTACAACTCTCTCTCCTGCTCTCTGTCCTATCTTTTAATACAAACAGCTTGCGCGCATCGAAAACTATTATACAGCTGTACACTAAAATTGCTTTTGTTGGCATTTAGGAAATACATGCACGCACCTGTTCTTTCTCTCTCTATATATCTCTCGCTCTATATCTTTGCTTTGTGTTGTATTGGCTTTTGGATTTGTTTTTTGGTGGTGTGCGTGCATGCATGTATGTATGTTGTTCGTTTACGACATTTTGGTGGTACATGTATTGTTGTTGTTTACTAGTGTTTAGTGTTATACAACATAGTTTATAGGTATATATATATATATATATAGATAATATTATTTGTTTTGTGTGTGTGTTTGTTTAGTTTCATTTCATTATGTGGGGGAAGGGAGGGGGTGGCCTGAAAACTGTTATACAAGCTCTTCCCCATTGGCCTAATTCTATTTCAATAGATTTTTGCATTCTCTTTCCTACCGTAGTATTATTGTGACGTACCGAAAACAAATTCTAGACTTCTGTTTTGGGCTGATATATGTACGTATGTATATAGCTAATAATTTTCATTTGTTGTTGTTGTTGTTGTTGTTATTATATTTATAACTTGTATATATGTGTAGATAGAACTGTTATACAATTTATAATTTGTCTGTCGCTGTGTTATATTTTTATGCATGTATAAGAATTTCACATACATATTGAATGTACTTATTTATATGTGTTTAGAGACATTTAAAATATGTTGCTTTTAGTTTAAGTTTTAGGTTTGTTTTTCGTTTTTGTTTTTGCTTTTAAGGGTGGGCCTAAGTTAACACCTGCTTTGAAGTTGTTATTATTTTTGTTATCTTTTAATAAAAAGTAGTACGACATAGTAGGTAGAGCCGCGAATTCGCTCTAATTTAAGACTTTGTTATACTTTTTCTCCCTTTTTTCAAGAATTCCGATTTATGATTTATATAAAAAAAATAAAAATAATAATTCAAAACACTTGCCATTTCGTTTAAACTTAATTTTAAGCCTACTTTCTGGGGTTTTCTTCTTCTTTTAAATTAATAATAATAGTTTTTTAAAAAAAATTAGTATTTTTATTCTGACATATGTATGTATGTAGTATGTTTGTATATAAATCGCGTGTGCTACGGATTTCTGTTTTCTCGTTTTGTGTACAACTAATAGATTAATGTTTTTCTTCTTGTTTGCTTGTTTTTCAGTTTCTGTTCTTGTTGTTGTTTTGATGCTGCTTGTTAACAGAGTTTTAGTGTTTAACAGATTGTATTTATATTTAATATATATATATATATATATCTATATATATATACATATATATATGCCATACATATATGTATATATATATATATATATATATATATATATATATATATATATATATATATATATACATATATATACGTATAATGCTTATGTAATTAACAAAAATAACATTCCGCAGTTTAAAGGCATTAACAAAAAAAAAAACATAGTTTTTGTTGTTTTAGCAACTTGTTCCGTAAATTGTGGATAATAGTGGTTTCAAAATTGTTGTTGTTTCCGTTGATTCCCCAGCTGTGGAATCCCGATTCGTGTTTATGTGTGTGTGTGTGTATCTGTATTGGTGGAAGGGGGGATGGATGGTCGACCAAACAACACCAAACGGCCCTAACAGTGCGGTATTTCTTCCTTTTTTCATTATTTGTTTTTTTCAACAGTATTTATTAAGCATGCACATTTGTTAAATAATTCGTTTTAATCGCATTTTAGAAGTTCCGACCTTGCAAACTGTTATACAGAAAATTAAGCCTCTTACAGGTCTTGCTTTCTTGTATTCTGTTCGCATTTCTGTGCTGTGCTTTGCTTACTTCTTTGTGGTCGGAATGATAACCGCCTCTGGGTCGTTGGGTTGCCTGGCCTGGCCAACTGAAGAAGCGACTGAATGCTACATTGCATTCTGTTGGGGAAGGGGGAATGGAGGGAAGATAAAAGCGCTTGCTGCTGATCGCTTGCTTGCATTTATCTCCTCGTTACCAAATTTAGCATCTGCTTTGAATTATTAACTGCTTATCTGCTGCTGCTGCTGCTGCTGTATGAAGAATTTGAGTGTGACTGTTAATTGTTGCTGTTGCTATAGTTGCTGCTTTTTGTTGTTGTAGTCGTTAGATTTATGTTCTTGTTGTTGATGTCGCCTTCTACTGCTGGGAGCTAGCCAGCTGCTGCTGCTGTTGCTGTTGAGCCGCGGTTGCCGCGGCATTGCCAGGCGGTGGCGACGGCTGCTGCTGCTGCAATTGGTGCGGAGCCGCTGGCGACGACGCCTGCTGATGATGAGCAGGCGGCGCCGACGACGACGCCGACGACGATTGATGGTGCGATTGCTGCGGCAGCGACTGTTGCTGCTGCTGCTGCTGCGGCGGCGATTGCTGTTGCTGCTGCTGTTGTTGAGTCCCACTCGGAGCAGCGCTGGCTAAGCTCTGTTGCTGTTGTTGTTGTTGCTGTTGTAATTGTTGTTGTTCTTTGGCAGCTTTCTGTTTTTTGGTCACTGGAGGCGGATTCGTGGAGAGCATCATGGCGCGTATGCGACGCTGCGCGGACTGTTGAATTGAAAATAGAAACAAAAGTTTAGTAAACATTTTATAGATGCATATATAATAGTGAAGCTACTACTGCACTCGAAAGAGACCACAAGTTAACGATGGCCTTGAAATTCAACATTAGTTACAATAGAATAGGGGGTTCCATCCAATATGTAGAGGCGTTCATCGAAAGTGTTAAGATATAGTGTGGTGGCTTACCTGTACGCTGTAGAATGGTCCAATAATGTGCACAGGTGTCTCCTCATCACCGCCCGAAGGTGGCGCGAGTGCGTGCTCTGGCAGTTTAATAACACTGCCCGTGACACGCTGCAACTCACGCACATTCTGGCCACCCTTTCCAATGATGCGACCGACCTGGAACAGAACAGAGTGCGTTATAGAGGAGACATTAATTAGCAATTGAGTGGGGGGGTGGGGTGGGCACTTACTTGTGAGCTGGCAACCAGCAGTTCAACCGTCAGACGTACATCATCGGTGCCGCACATGAAACCCTCCTCGCGCATCTTCTCAAATATCATATACTGCGCCTTCCACTGACCCTCCGGTGTACCAACAATCGTTACCTTGCGTTCCGTTTGTTGGTCCAGCGGCTTGTCGGCATCCAGTGGCGCTATCTTAAGCGATGCATTCGAGAAGCGCATAATGCTGCGAATGTGTGAGCCCTTTGTGCCAATAATGGCGCCCACAGCATTGTTCGGTATATAGAGATATGTTGTCTCCTGCATGTCATTCGGGAATACCGGCGGCACAACGCTGGCCGGCGTCTTTGACATAGCAAAGCTGGGGCACGAGGGGAATGGCATGCTCGTATTGAAGACCATACCGTTGCCCGGTGTCGACATCATTGCCATCGGATGCAGACCGGGGAACATTAGACTCTGCGGCGCCATCGCCTGCAGATCGTTCTCATAGCTTTGGCGCAATTTGGTGCTGATTTGATTCTCTGCGCGCGACATATTATCAATTTGGCCCTTAACCGTTATGATGCGCTCCAAGTTGAAGCTGTTGATGTCATTTATGGAGCTAACGGTGATTTTCGTGTCGGTATCCTGCATGATGCGCTTTATAGTGTTGCCACTCTTTCCAATAATGCGGCCTATCAAATTATTGTGCGCCAATATCTTCAGACAGATTTCACTAAAATAGGGAGGCGGGGGGGCGAAAATGGAATGAAATGGAATGCGTTAATGAGAGAGCATGTGTGAAGATAATTGTTTGAGAGACTCACCCCTTATTTGTGGAGAGGGCCTCCTGTTGCATAACCTCCAGAATGCGTTTGCATGCATTGGTACAATTCTCTGGATTACCATAAATTGTTATGGACTTCTCCAATGAGCCGACATTCTCCTTGCGATGCACATCGACGCGAGCGCGACTCTGTTGTGTAATGGTGCGAATGGTGCTACCCTGACGCCCAATGATAGCACCAACCATTTCACTCTGCACTAGAATGCGTAGCGGAAAGTCTGCCTGGCGACCTGGTCCCGGCATACCCGGATACGGATTACGTTGATTCCGTTGACTGCGACGTTGATTCTTATCCAATTGTTCAGCATGCAGCTTGCTACCCTCAAATTCGACACCGTTTAGACCACCAGCAGCTCTATTATGGCCGCATAGAGAGTACGAGAGAGTAAGAGGGCGAGAGAAAGAGAGAGAAGGGGGGAAAAAACGTTATTACTTAGGGCATAGATAATATCAATTATTTATTTAATATTTAAATATAATTATCCAAGACAACAAACAATAGCAATCGCAATAATAAACAATTGGATATAGGCCAGGCGGCAGGCACACACAGATAGCCATACACACACACACACACACACACACGTATTAAAACGCCCTCTAGATCGTAGCTCCAACCTCCACCTCTGCCCCACACCCACCCCGTTTAGTTTAGCAGCCACACAACCACACCTAATGGATGGATGGATGATATATGTATGTATATGTTTATCGCTCCATCAAAACTAGAGCTAGCATTACGATACTTGTAATTATTATATGCATGTAGTAGTATATTGTTTAAACTAGAGACCTATACTTCGCACCAGATCTACAAAGTTCTATATTTTTTAAAATCGGTACCTATTTAGATTAGATCCCCCAAGAGAGGATTATGCAAAGATTCAAATTTTTGTTCGAACTCGTAGATCTAGTGTTAAGCTTTAGATATATATATATATATATATATTTATATAGATATTTCTATTTTATTCAGTTTTTCAGTTTTTTTTTTGTTTATTTTGGTATATACCTTTGCGCCTGCTCAGGATTTTCGAATGTTATATGTACTGTTTGAGTATTTTGATCCTTACTAGAAATAGCCTCACATTGTTTGACGATGCCATAGGGCTTCAGTAGTGGTTCGATGTCTTCGAAACGTGTTTGCAGCGGTATGCCGCTTATTAAGATTTTTGATGTCGTAACACTGTGAAGAAAATAGCGTAAAACACACAAACAAAGAAGAAAAAACAAACGAAAAGGTAAAAAAATAAAGCAAAAAACATAGAGGGGGAACAAAAAATATAAAAGAAATTGGATATAAAAAAAATGTTGTTTCAAATTTATAGTGAGAGAGAAAAAGAGAGAGAGAAAGAGAGAAAAGAAAAACGTAAATCAGTAAGAGATTCTGAAGCGCAACTAACATAGGTATTGGCAAGGATACGAGGAAGAGGAGCATGAGTAGTGATGGGTGGTGGTGGTGGTTTGGGAGTAGGGGCGGGGGAGGTGTGGTGTGTGTGGATCGCTGAACGCACTTGAGCCGAATATATCATAATACACAGACAGCAGCAGACGAAAGAGAGCAAACAAACACACGTGAGAGTGTTGCATAGAAGAGAGCGAATGCGAATGCGAATGACTGGCGCTAAAGAGAAAAAGCAATGCATTTGAAAAAATGTGTGTGGCAATACCAAACAAAATACATACATACATACATACATACATATATCTATAAATTGCTTGTTTGCTGGCTGGCATACGTACATACATACAGACATACTCGAGAAATGCAAAATTTGTCTATAATTTGGGGGCGCATGTTTCAAAATAAAAAATAAATTTAATTAACAATAAAGGTAAATACAAATAAAAGGTGTGGCGAGCAATTTTAAATTTTGTTGGATTACGTTTTCGTTTCTTTTCCTTATTTTTCTTTGTGATCAGATCAGGATGAGCTGTGTTAGTCGATCGTGTCTGGAGCACATACATACATACATACATACACATACATAATAGGGGGTTGTTGGGTTAAGGGGTTTTCAAATATTTCCCTCCTTATTTTTTGGTGAAGAAGGTGATGGTGGTGGTGCAGGCATTTATTAAAGCTATGATAAAAAGCGATACATTCAATAATAATATTGCAAAAGTTATTTATGAATGAGAGTCAACAGAGATTTACAGATTTTAGAATTAGAAGAAGTGGCGATCGAATCTAAATACATTGGGAAACAAAACACAAGCATTGTTAAATATTAATCAGCTAAGTTTAAGGTGCGACATAAATTCAAATTTATTATATGTATGTATATGCATATTAACTAGCTAGCTCTATATAATATGCATATATATATATACATTGGTAGCATGTATCTGTACGAAGCAAGCAAGAGAAAGAATTAGTCAGGAAGTAAGCGCGATCTTCGGCACACCGAAGATATTAATAAACAAACACAGCTACATATATACAGTTGAAATCGCTTATATTCCGATGACTACTTAGTTTGGTTTTTTTAAAAGCAAAATCGCGTACAACAACTATCGGGTATAACGACTTACTGCCTTCGACTGTATATATGTATGTATGTTTATGAAGATATATGCATGTACATATATAGTATTTTGGTACCGATCTTTTTTTTTTTTTAGTGAACATGATTTAGTCAATGATGTGTTTGTGTCCATCATTGTAAACTGATACTAGAGCTAGACTTTAGACTCTGAATCTGTCGACAGTCTGGCGATAATTGGGCAGCTGCCGGCTACATCAGATGTGGTTTATCTATGATTTTCTTTAATTATTTGAAAGCATCTAAAGAGAAGCAGAAACTCGAATACTTACTTACATAAGTATTCTACGATATATGTACGCCTGAACAACAATCTCGTGTTTGGGGATTGTCATTAAGCTCAGTTCTTATTATATTGGCTTCGTGAGGATACTACTTCTTTCTCCACTATTTGAATATTAGTCTAAGTCTGTAGCTAACAAAACGTCTTCCTTTCTGCCTCATTTCGTTCCTATTAGTTGTAAATCGAAACTAACTGAAAATCGAATCTTATCAGCAAACAAATTCGAGGCGATTACAAAAACAAAAGAGACCTTACATAAATATTTATTCAAAGTAGATGAAACGGATTTTAGACAATTCGTGGTATATTTGTATAATGAGCCCTTAAGTAGGGGAGAGTCTAGCAGAGTAGCTACTAGGAAGATAAACAAAAACAGAACGGCTCAGAGGGAAACAAAGTAAATCGAGCATTTGTGTCAATAAGGCACTCTTCGTTTTAGCATGTCTAGGACTGAGGAGTGCTGAGCTTTTAAAACGGAAAAGCCTCTTCACAGAATGATTTAAGCGGATACTAGAATCCACAATTGAATTATATTCTATTTTATTTGATATTTTAGATAGATAGATTTTTTCAAAAAGATCTCGAGATAAGTCAAATTCTCAAAAAAGTGAAATGGAGTCGAGTTTTTAGAAGCGTTTTTGAAATTTTGAAGAGAGCAATTTTAATTTTAATTTCTGATTAAACATCAATATTTTGGGAATATGTTATCAGCAACATGAGCTTTAAATGTCAGTTTCATATTTTTCGAGTATTTTTAAAGCTCTGGCAAAGCTCTTAACACAGTTATTTAAATCTGGAGTTTCGAATTTCTGTTTAATGAAGCCAACTCTACATAGAACTGTTCATGTACGAGTATTACCAGCATTTATTTTCAGAGCTTCAAATATTTTACGGCCAGTTCGGGATGCATTCTCGCTCTGTTGCCATAACGGCATTCACGCAGGCATACATAAATACATATGTACGTATTGGCCATAGCCATGACCAAAACGAAAACAACATACAACACAAACAACGGCAACAACAGCAACTATAAAAGAGGAGTCGTCGTCTGAAGACGAGGCGCTGTGGTGTGGTGTTGCTGGCGCTCGACTTTGCGCCAACAAGATCGAGAACAACAATAAAAACAACACTATACAAAAACATAGTCAGAGCAGAGCACGAGCATCTCACGAACGGGAATAGGAGCATCAGTCAGTCTCCGGCAATGCCAAGCGTCTGACTGGTCTTTTCTTTTCTGCTCCACACGCGTCGTCGTCTCGTTTCGATTCTCATTCCCATCTTCCGTTTTATGTACAATGTGACTGGCTGGCTGGCTGGCTGTTGGCTGGCAGGCTTGCTGGGACGGATGGCGATGGCGACGACCGATGACAGGAATGTTGCACATTTAATATCGTGTTTATTTTTCTTGGAAGTAATTTCACTCCGTCAGCGAAAAAAAGAAGACCAACCAAAAAGAACGAAGTCGAAGATTTGCAAAGCACAGGCACAGGGGGATCAAAAATATATACATACATACTACATACATATGTGGCATTTTTTTGTTGGGCTTTTTGCTCTTTTGGCACATTAGGCTATGAAGTTATTATTAGGATATTTTCAGAACGTCTGAGATATTTTTGAAAGCCCCAAAGGAATGCAGTAGCATTTCGTGAATGAAACACATTTGGGGTGGGCGTCATCATATGATGGAGAGAGAGAGAGAGAGAGAGAGAGAGAGAGAGAGAGAGAGAGATAGAGAGGATGAGTACAAAGAACACTGAGAGGAAGCAACAGAAACGAAACTCACCAAATAAATTAAAACCAATTAGCTTTGGACAACATACGAGTACAAGAGAGAAAAGCTTCAATGTGTCATAAGTGTACGGAAAACAATGGAGCCGAGAAAGTGGGAGAGAGGTAAATAAAGATCTGCAAAGAATGTTGATGTTGTGTGGAGGTTCCTCCAAATACGTTCCAACAAAAGAGGCCACGGAGGTATACTATCTAGGTTCATGGATTAACAATATACTTTTGGGTGTAATTCCTCGATGGACCATCTATGATAACACTTGTTAAGATTCTTTATAACGCATCAAATGAGTTCAGACTTATTATATGTTCAACTTTTGGATGAGTTTTTTAGTATTACAATATAATAATAATAAAAAATAATGCAATATATTCAGCTGGTGAAACAAAATGTATATATTTGTTTCAAAGACTTCTTTATAAAGAATCCAGAAAACAGAGCCAAAAATCTATAACATTGTTATCGATTTAAAGTAATAGAGGATCAGGTTCGATAACATATTTTAGGTGGCTAATTGAGGTTTCGCTACTCTGTGCTATTTTTGGATATGAATAAACCGAAATAGTGGTACCGATTTCGATTCGAGTTAGTTCACCATTGTCCAAGTCATATGTAGAATAAGGGCCAAGAGTCGCTGCCCTCGTTCGAGCGCCTTGAACTTAATTATCAGCTGGTTTTTGTTAACCAGTCATTAGAAAAACAGCTGATATTGTGCAAGAAATGCGACCCATCGA